TTGAAGTGGCACATCGTGAAGATACATGGAGTCAGCCACATCACCTCCTCTATCACGGCACGTGGCGTCCCCCAGGAGTACTCATCGAACTGCTACGAGCACAGACACAAAACAACAGTGAAGAGGCCATCTCGCGGGTCAAACTGGAAGAATGTGGGGGAGCGCATCGTCAAGAAGCACATCCAACACGCTGTGGTGCGTCAGCTAACCCGCGAGGTCGGTGGCGACGCGTCGTACGAGACGGCCATGAAGCAGGTATGGAGCGGTTTGATGGGTGGCCAAAGGGGTGGAGGGATTGGAACTCCATGCGTTTCCAGGTACCCTAGCTGCCCTATTCTCATATTTCTCCAAGTGTATAGACGGACCTACCCCCTAGCCAACCCCGTGACAGCCTGGTGCCTAACACGCCACTACCGCTTCCATCCTCCAAATGCCATGCACGACACAGGCATCCTTGAGGAACCAGCGTGTCCTCACCAGGACCTACAAGAAGATGGAAGCGGGGGACACCCGGGATCCTGTCTTCCGCAATTACATGAGGATCGCAGGGGTGCTGGCGATGCACGAACTGGAGGAGCGCCTTCGCCTCGCCAAGATTAAGACGCGGACAATCTTTGTACGTTAACTAGACCCTGAGGCATGGGTTTGGGGATTGGGATGGAACGTGAGGGCGGGGCAGGGAGAGGCAGGGTGACTGGGCACCTTATGGCAGGGAATGGGGATGTGTGGGAGGGGGTGGGAGGAGATGGCCGTGAGTGGGAGGGAGTGCTAGGGCTTGGAAGGTCAAGGGACGGAATGGACAGGGATGGGAGGGAATGTATGGGGATGGCATGGAATGGGAGGGTGTGGACAGGGACGGGAGGGAATGGATTGGGATGGCATGGAATGGGAGGGTATGGACAGCGATGGGAGGGAATGGATGGGGATGGCATGGAATGGGAGGGTATGGACAGCGATGGGAGGGAATGGATGGGGATGGCATGGAATGGGAGGGTATCCCAGGGATGGGAGGGAATGGATGGGGATGGCATGGAGTGGGAGACTGCATTGACTACTTGGCTACCTCAGCTCTTAGGGTCCCATTTAATAACTGGAATGGGAGGGTATGGACAGAGATGGGAGGGAATGGGAGGCCATGGATGGGGATGGGAGGAAATAGGAGGGAATGCACGGGGATGGGAGGGAATTGGAGGGAATGGGGTAGGAAGGAATCACTGAGAATGGGAGTGGGAGTGGGAGGGAAAGGGCCGCGAACAGCAAAAAGCTCTCGCAGGATTTGGAGCGAGAGTCAGGGAATAGCAAGGAATGAGTCAAGTGGGACGGGGAGGGGGCCTTGGGAGCGGTAACAGTGGGATTGGTGGGGTTTGGCCAGTGAATGGCATGGAATGGCAGCAATTTGGTGGGACTGGGCTCTCTTTTTCCACACCCTAAACCCTACCGTGGCCCCTCTGTCCACGTCTCCCCTCTATCCCCTCGTGAGCTCAATCCCTCTAAACATACAAGATGACTATCCTGTGCCATGGTACCATGCCTCCATGCCAAGTGCTGCCCTCCCATCTATGATAATTCAAGGCACACTCGTGCCCCCTCTCTACACCCACCCGCCTGCCCTTCCCTGAACTCCCCCCATTGCCCCCTACCCTAAACCCAGGTCCACACAGCCATGGCCATCCCCCCCCATGACAGCATGGAGTGGACCTCAAAGGGCCAGTCCATGAAGGCAAGCCCTCACGAGCGCCTCTTCTCTGACGTCTCGATCACAAATGCTCCACTCGTCCCCCCTCACCTCCACTACCGTTTTGCCGCAAAACCTAAAACACAGCGCGACTTACGCCCATGTCTAGGTGGAATACCCGACCTCGGGTATATTTTACCCGACCGGGTCAGGTACCCGTTACCCGACACGTCGGGTAGCATTTCGGGTAGCGGGTATTGATACCCGGCCCGGGTAACCCGGACCCGACCCGCTGGGTAATTTTCAGGATTTTCGATACCCGACCCGCCCTAAAAGCGGGTCCGGGTACCGGGTACCCGACCTGGGCGGGTAGTTTGCTCAACCCTACTCGAGTCCAGAGACGAGGTTGTTTGAGGACATGTCGAGAATGCCCTTCTTGTGAAAGTGACCAAGCCGTTGGTGCCATCAATCAAGTGTGGTTGCAGCTGCGGGTGAGGCAGTTAGGGCGGAGGGAAAATATGGCGAAATCGGCTGCTCAAGCTTGTAGAGAGATCCGCAACGAATGGCGGTGGCGATGAGCTGGCCGGTGCTCTGCTTGATGGCACATTTTCCTGCTGAAAATTTGACAGCAATGCCTTAGGCTTCAAGTTGTGAAACCGAGAGTAGGCTCACATTCAAATCAGGTACGTGAAGAACGCGAGTGAACACCACCGGCCCACATGCAACGTGATGCCTCACTGACCCTTCAGCTGCAACCGGAAGCTCGAGATTGTTTCCAAGCATAATGCGCGAGTAGGAAGAAGAATATGGATGCAGCAACACATCCCGATTCGGCGTCATATGGTGAGTTGCACCAGAATCTATCAGCCATTCCTTAGCTCCGGAGTAGATGCGCATGTTGCAGTGAAAACAGCGGCGTCGTCCTCGGCGTGAACAGCATTTGAGGTAGCGATTTGACGCATGGGCTGTTTTTGAGCTTGTGTCCACTTTGCTTGGCGCTTTCGGCAATGCTCCCAATCATGGCCGTTGCGTTTGCAGTAACTGCAGAAATATCTTCCTCCACGCAAGCGAGCATGGGAAGACGAGTCGTCATTTGACCCATGAAAACTGTTCCGCTTGTCCCCGTTGTCCCGGCTGCCTCCTTTTGCTCGAAAGGTTGGTGCCTTGCCGCTACGCTGCCCGTCATTGAAGAGAGCTGCTCCTGATGAGTCACCGACAGCTTGCTTCCTTCGAGATTCCTCGTGAAGAAGGCGGGTTGAAACGCTATCCACCGTCCAAGAATCTTGTTTATCTTCAAGCATAACAATGACCGTGTCCCAGTCTTCGGGAAGGCCAGCAAGGATGGTCATAATCTGATCATCCTTTTCAAGAACCGCGCCGATGCCTGACAGCTCCTCAACGGTTTCTTGAACGCAATTCATATACACTTGAATGCCCTCGCCTTCTTGCAACTTTGTCGTGTAGAACTTGTGGCGTAGGTGTAGCTTGTTGGCGAGCGATTTGACAAGGTGCGTGGACTCCAGCTTCTCCCACGCTGATTTTTCCGGGCTGTCGTGGTTGAGAAAGGGTCGAACCAGAGGGAGTTGAGAATCGCCCAACTTCAAAACGAGAAGGCTATATGCCTTTTGAACTCGTTTCTTCCATGCCGTAATATCAGCTACCGCGGCTGCAGAATCTCCATCCGCGGGCTTCGCATCGCTGCCGTCGAAGATGCCCCACAAATCTTTATCCACGGTCCACATCTGGAACTTGAAACGCCAATTGGCGTAGCCATCGCCATGGAAAAATTGGGACGTTCGCGACTTCGACGATCGACGAGGAGGCGGCCATGGGAAAATCAGAAGTAGTTGGACGCTTAACAAACACAGGGAAGTCCACTTACAAGCTCTGGTAGCATGTAGAAAATTAAGAGACTTAGTTGCAGCGGAAAAGCACCACGAGAGTAGAGCGTAGTGGGCTTGTAAGAGAGCTCAAGAGTATTGCTTGTAGAGCTTGGGTGTAAGCGTGTAAGTTGGGCTTGTATGAAAGCTTTGTAATTTTCAGAATGATTGAAACAGCAAGTACAATTAGCATTTATAGTCCTAGACCTCCAAAGGGTTGGAGGTTGGAAGAGAATGCAGAAACTTCTAATTTAAGCAATTTCTAGAACGTAGTGTTACTAGATTGTTTGTGAGTATTCACGAAACCACTCGACCCAAGGCGGTCCATTCTGATGGGTGGGGAAACTCCCACACAATTCTCAATACTTCCAGTCTTGCATCTTGGTAGAGCACACCCAGAAGCTGCTGCCACTTCCGAGATTCCTCTCGCAACAAGGGCGGAATGTTGGGGATAGGGACGAGGGCGGAATGTGGGGCGAGGGAGGAATGTGGGGATAGGAGCGAGCTCGGAATATGGGGATGGTTGGGCGAGGGCGGAACGTGGAATTTGAGTGATGGCGGCTCGCCCGGGAGGGGGAAATGCTCACATGTCTGTCTCGTGTCGATCTTCCTCCACGCCCTAAGCCTCACCAAGCCCGTGCTCGGACGTCACGTGTGCATGTTATGGTTGAAGGGCTCAAGGATGTACCCATCCTGCCTCCGTCAGCAAGTTGCTGATTCGACCTAGCAGCTAAGGAATGGGCTACAGCCGTAACGGACCTGGCAAGAAGTCTAAGGGAGTGGCCAAAGTAGAGTTTTGACCCTAGCTAAGCTTAGCTGACGTCAACTTGCCCCTGAAACTCCTTGTCCTAGGGGGACGTCAAACCAGGAGTGTAACCCTACTTTGACCTTGTACAAGATTGCGAATTCTGCCCAAACAGTGACATTCGAACAGGGGTGGGCAAGGTCCTTCCATGGCAAATGGATTTAGCAACTTCGAATTCCAAGGGCGTGTTGTTGGGTCCGACAAACTTTTTGGGTTGCGTAGCAACCCTATACAAGTCATATCCATTCATCGCAATGACATTCTATGCTACGTACTACACCGTAAGCCATTTATCCTTAGAAGCAGCTACCATATACGCCCCGAGTTTGGATTTCAACACCACTGCTTAGATTACAGTCCTGATTGTGCGATTAAAAGCGACCGTTGTGATTGGAGGACGAGCTATGACAAACCTACAACTGTCAGACCTCGACAGCGAAAGCGCGGAGGTGGATCCAATTTATGGTGGACAAAAATTCAGGATCTGAAATCCAGCCATTCAAGAAACGCCACGTTCTGTAACGAAACAAATTGCGATTCGTCTGAAAATATTGTGTGTCATGTTTGGGAAACAAACCTCAATTTGATAAGGGCGTGGTTTTTACACGTTGCGCAACTCGGTCAAGTTGGGCTGTTTGAGCCTGTTATGATTTTCGTTAACTTTTCAAGGTTCCCGCCCTACGGCCCTAATTTTCGTCAACGCCACAACTTGACGAATTTTTGGAGGGAGAGAGAGAGAGAGAGAGAGAGAGAGAGAGAGAGAGAGAGAGAGAGAGAGAGAGAGAGAGAGAGAAGGAGAGAGAGAGAGAGAGAGAGAGAGAGAGAGAGAGAGAGAGAGAGAGAGAGAGAGAGAGAGAGAGAGAGGGAAAAACACGCAAATGTTAACAGCTCGACCCTATTCTTCGTCTATTGCGCTACTACTTATAAGAACATGCAACTTCGTGTTGTAACTAGGTTTGATACGCGTACGACATGGCGGGCGACGGATGCTCGCAGCATGCGCCAATGCCGCCGATCATGAATAGAACATATCAAACAAAGGAAAAATACATCCGCGCTCAGTATTAGGGTCACCGCTATTACGTACGGTCAGTGGAACGCTATAAACCATCATAATTAGTGAGTTCGTCACACGGCTAGTCAGTCGGGTTCCACGGTTAGTCAGTGACTGCTGGTAAACACTTCTACGAATGGTTAGTAGACGTAACACCCACCCATTTTGGGCAGATTTCCCGCTTGCGGCAGCCCAACAACAAAACGACTGTAATTATTGCGGGGGCCGAGATTTTTTTCGCGCCAGCCTGGCGGCCGCGTCGTCGAGCTGCCGCGTCGCGGGGCTGCGGTCCGCCGCACCGCTGTGCCGCCGTGCCGCCGTGTAGCTGAGGTCGTGTGATGGCAAACTCTGTGCCCCGCTTGGACGTGGAGGGGCGGGCGATCGACTTCGACGCTTAACTTGTCGACCTTCGTCGTCACCTGACAGGTCAGCGTTAGGACGGTTACTCCCTGGTTGTGCATGTCCATGGCCTGCTTCCCCGCCGCCCCATGCCTGCTGCCCTCCCTGATTCACCCACGACTTCTGAGCGTGAGGCCTTTTCTGCTGCTGCGCATGCTCGCCCTGTCTGGGACTCGCGCGATGCCGTAGTGTTGCTTGCCATTAGTCACGCCCTCCCCCTATCCAAGCGTTCCCATTTTACTGTAGTAGCGAATGCTCAGGACTTCTTAGATGCCGCAGCTGCACGCTACTCCACGCTTACCTCCGCCTCTGCTGGCTGCTTGATCCTCCCCATGCCGTTCCCTGATCTGGCGGCCTTCCCTTCTGTCTCTAACCTGGCCACTCACCTCCGTGCACTTGAGGCTAGCTACCGCGCCGCTAGCACTGAGGCCCAGCTCACTACCTTCCCACCGCCGCTTTGCGCTACCCTCTACCTCATTTCCACTCACCTTCCGGACCGCTTAGCCACTGCTGACGACCACTTCCTTAGTCAGCACCCCGGCGACCTCACCCTTACCGCCGTTGTCACTGCCCTGTCCAAGATAGAGACCTGCCAGCGCACTATCGCTCAGTCTAGCAATACTGCACCGGTCCCTATCTTTCAAGGCTGTGCTCCCTCCCAGTGTACATACGCTGATGTTTTGGCCGCTGTCGCTGAGACAGCCTCTGCCGCTGAGACCGCCGCTACGGCCTCCGTGCAGCCGCATCAGCGTACGGGCCGCCGCCCCCGAGGGGGGGCGTGGCAGGAGCAGGGGTGGCAGGGGTGGTGGAGGTGGAGACGAGGGCAATGGCTCAGACGAGGGGCCGGGCCTGGTGCCTCGGAGCAACAGCAGCAGTAGCCGCAGCAGTAGTCGCAGTCGCAACTGCAGCAGCAGCAGTCGCAGCAGCAGCCGCAGCAATGGGGCCGCCTCCCGCCTGGGTGGCCCAATTCCTCTGGTGGTGGTGGCCGCGGTTGCGGCCCTCGTAGCTCGGCGTCAGGTGGTAGCTTCGGCGCCATGAGTTGCCCGTACCAGCTCCATTGTATGTGTTCGCTCCACTCACACTACCCCCCGCTTCTTCCGCCGCCTCGACAACCTCTTCCGTCTCCTCTACGGCCCTACGACGGACCTCTCCGACTGGCCTAGTCTGGTGCGTTGGGGTGTGCCTGTTCTTGAGTTGGACATTGATCGGATGTGCTATGCTTTGCATGCCATGTATACTGATGCCCCTAGTGTGACCGGATCTTATTACCCTATGTTGCCTAGTGTAGGTGTGCCTCCTGTGTGTAGTCTAGGCTCCTCTGCTGCGTCAGGCGTAGGACCTTCTACCTTGTTTAGCCTAGTCTCCACGCTAGCACCTCTGCCGGCTGCCGCTACCTCTGCACTCTCGTTCACTCTTGACTCTGGTGCATCTGCCTGCTTCTTCTGCGACCACACTGCGCTTACGCCGCTTGTCGCCCCTGCTCCTGTTGCGCTTGCCGACCCCTCCTCAGGTTCGGTAGTTGCCTGTAGCTCCACTACCCTTCCCTGTCCGGGGGTTCCCTCGGGCTCCCTCACAGGCTTGCACATCCCCTCGTTCTCATGGAACCTAGTTGTTGTCAGCTGTTTTAAGGACCTTGGTGTCACCACTACGTTCACGAGACATGAGCGGTACGCAGTCTGTACCGACACAACCACAAGTGCCCCCCTCGCCACATTCTCCCGGGACTCGATGTCTGGTCTGTTTACCCTCGACACCGAGTCCCCCTTGGTGAGAGCATCCCCCCAGGTGCCTGCGACTACCCACGTTGCTGCAGCTTGCTCGTGTGAGTCGCTCACTCACTCGTCACTTCTATGGCACCATCGTCTAGTTCACCTTGCACTCCTTGGTCTGCGTCACATGTCCCAATACAGTCTTGTCCTATGTCTCTCTACGTCACTCCCTACCCTTCCTCCCTTGCATGCGCCACCGTGTATGCCTTGCGTTGAGGGCCAGCTGCGCCATGCTCCTCACTCCTCCTTGCTTCGCCCTGCCACCGCGCCCCTCCAAACTCTGCACCTGGACGTCTGAGGCCCAGCACCTGTCCCTGGGCCGCGTCAAGAGCGCTATTTTCCAGTGCTTGTCAACGACTACACACGCTACACCAAGGTGTTTCCCGAGGAGCGGAAGGCCAACGTGCCTAGCGTACTTATCCCATAGGTGGTAGCTGCGCAAGTCCACCGCGGCCTCCCTGTGCTGCGCCTCCACTTCAACCATGGCGGCGAGTTTGCCTCCGATCGGCTTGGCCAATCGTGTCGTGCGGAGGGCATCACCCAGTCATACACCCTGCCAGACTCCCTGCAACAGAATGGGGTTGCTCAGCAAGGCATCGGTTTGGTCATGGAAGTCGCTCGTACCTCCATGATTCATGCCGGTGCACCCTAATTTCTGTGGTCGTTCGCTGTTCGCTACGCCGCTCACCAGCTTAACCTGTGGCCGCACTCCCAGCGATCGCACGTTTCGCCGAACCTTCTCCACACCAGGTTCCCTGGTGACGCGTCTACGTTCCACGTCTTGTGCTGCCTTGCTCACGTTTGTGTCTTTGGCACAGACAAGCTCACTGCTTGCACTGTCCTCTGTGTCGTCCTTGGCTTCCCCCTCGACCCGTCTGACTGGCACTTTTATCACCCGCCGTCTCACCGCTTCTTTCACTCGCGTGAAGTCACTTTTGACGAGTCTGTCTCCTTCTACCACTGCTTTCCCCACTGAGGTCTCCCGGTGCCCCCACCCCTGTTTCTGGTACTCACTCCCCCGGTAGCCCCTGCTCCTCTCCCTCCCCGTCATGCCTCGTCCAGTGTGTCTCACATCACCCCACTCTAGTCAGTTGTCCTGGTCGAGGAGTTGGCTGACTCTGGTGGCCCCATGGTGCCGTTCTCACCGCCGGTCTCTGCCCCGGTGTCTCCTCCGCCGTCGCAGCAGCAGCAGCTGTCGCAGCCGCAGCCCTCGCCGCCGCCGTAGCAGCAGCCGCCGCAGGGGTCCGCGAGCTCTGGGGGTGCGGGCGTTGAGGAGGGTGCTAGTCCTTGGGTGACTGTTGTGTCCTGGCGGTCCTGGGGGTGGCACCAGTGCTTAAGAGGGTTCTCGTTCTAGGGGTGCTAGTTCTAATGGTGCTACTCCTGGGGTTACTGCCGTGGCTTGTCCCGGCAGTCCAGTGGGAGGCACCGGTGCCAGAGAGGGTTCCTGTTCTGGGGGTGTTGGCATGGAGCTGCTTGGCGGTTGTGAGAGTACGGCCCCGTTCTACTTCCATCCCTCTCATTCTCCCTTTTCTCCTGATTCCTTTGCCCTTTATCTCATCTCATTTGGGTTCATATTCCTCATTTTCCATAATCCTTTGGTTTATCCTGTTATTATAATTATATCACCGACCAGGCTCGGGATGTACTGGCGCACTATATCTAGCGTAATCCCGCTGTAATCCCATAAAGCCAATAGCCTCGCGTGGCTATACGCAGGGTGATTCTATTTTTAGAAGGGTCTATTCCCTTGGGATAGGATAAACTTGGTTACCTGATGTATTGAGGAAGTATAAAAGCGCCCTGTATCGATCGATAGTGTAACTTTTCCTCGAGACATTTGATCTGGTGACACTTGGTAATCAAAGCTTTTTCCACTCGGCCACGCCCAGCTAAGCAGCAGCAGTGGGAGAACCTGCCTCAAAAAACCGCCGGGGGCGACTAATTTGTCGCCGATTCTGGTAAGCACCAGCTCCGCGTTTTTTTAATTACCCCCTCCGCGCGTGTTTTGAACAGGATGGCAGACTTCGACCACGCCGGGGTTACCCAGCAGCTCTTCGCGCGCATCGCCACCCTGCATGAGGAGATGTGAGCCGACCGCGAAGCTTGGCGAGCTGAGTTCGAGCGAGTAACTCGACTCGTCGGCGCACAACACGAAACGACAACGGCGACGATGCAGCAGTCGCAACAATTTCTCGAGGCTCCGAAGCCACGCCCACCTGAGCCGTTCGATCCGAGCGGTTGAAATTCCAACGTCCGCAGATGGATCGCCGGCATGGATATCTACTTCGCAGCCGTCGAATGGAGCTCGCGTGTGTGGGACGGTCAACGCGTACGACTCGCGGCGACACTGATGCGAGGGCCGGCACTCGAGTGGATCGGCGGCAACAGTACCTTCATCCACGGCGAAGCCACGTGGCAGCAGCTCCGCACCGACCTGCTAAAATGTTTCGAGCCGATAAATTCCGGTTTCCTTTTCTGGGGAAAAAATCATCGCCATCGACAGTTCAGGAGTGTAGCATAGTACACGCAGCAGATGGAAGAATTTTACAACCGCATTCCCGATCTGACCGAAGGGGAAAAAGTGCAGTCGTATCTCGCTGGGCTGAAGACCGAAGTCAAACGACAAGTAGCATCGATAAATTACGCGAGCTACAGTGATGTTGTTTTGGCAGTGGAGCGGTTTGACAAGGTCAACGCCGGGACACGATAGGCGCACGTCGGCAGTACACGACAGGGGGACCGCACGGCTCACTCCACGTTCGCCGACCCGATGGAAATCAGCAGGTTGGACGGGCGGCCACGTCCGAAAAACACCAACTTCACGTGTGATTTTTGCGGGGGGATGAGTCATCGAATCTTTGAATGCAACAAAATGAAGGCCGCACGCGCAGAGTATCGAACACCCAACAGTGGCGGAAATCCTTCGGCCAATCACAAGTAAAAAACGGAAATCGCCAATGATTGCGGATCTAGCTGGCGAAAAAATGTAAAGTTCCGAAAACGGCCGTGGACTTCCGGAAAAATCAACTTCGACGCAGCTGATTCAACGCGAGCAAGAGGAAATGATGGGAAAAAATCTCCAACCCACGACCAGTCTTCGCCAAGGAAAATCACCGAGAAAAAACATACCTCTGCGAAAAAATACTATGCCGAGACAAGGAAACTCTTCCAAGACCCAAGAAATTATAAGGATTCGTTAAAGTTATCTTATAAGGATGGTTCAATGAAGACTTATGATTCTCGAGGGGCTAGAGCTTTGGAGAAATTCGGGAGGGACTCCAGAAGAATAAAAAAATCGTGGAGATCATACCGGTACCGGAGAACATGGGGACAACATTAAGGAGTATGCAAAGAAGCCCTCTCCACGACCTTTCCACGGAGTCAACGTCCTCTCCCGACACCAGCCCACAACGACTACCCGTTCCCTAAGGAAGAAGTCGGTGGAGCTGAAGCAGCTCAAGAGGAAGCTAGGGGTCTACCAGAAGCTGCAAAAACCCCGAACTCCTCCTTCGGATGCATCCAGTTCAGCAACTTCGGCATCAACGACACACAGTCGTTAAAGAAACTCCGGGCCCTAGAGAAGAACCGTTCTCCACGCAGCCTTGGCCAGCTGCCAGCTCAGGAGTAGCAAGCAACGAGAAGGTGTGTATGGAATATTGGGATGTACCCTATGATCCGATCAATGAAACGATCTTTGGGTATTCTGAGCAACGTTTGCCCCTCGTGCTTGAGGTCATCTGCAAAGGGCCACACCTCCAAGCACTCATGGACAGCGGAGCATCACACACCGTATGTGACAAGGCAACAATCGACCAACTTCGAGAAGAGTACAAGCCTTCAATATTCTATGCAACGATGTGGACGGCAGCAAGTTACCAGTCTACGGCGAAGCAGTGTTACACCTACAAATCGGTCCACTGCGCTGGAGACCTGCACTCCCCGTCATCAATATCAAAGGGCTTGACCAGAACTTCGGGCAAGACTTCCTTAAGAAATTCAACCCCGAGATCAACTGGGTCAACCGCACCGCAAGTATATTCAACAATGGAAGGAGAGTCCAATTACCCAACTGGGACGATACAGGAGATATCCCAGTGGAGACACTCGCCAGGTTCAAGAAGGACGTGAAACGAACCGACACCGGATTCTTGGTGATAGCAACAGACGTGGAGAAGGATGGAGAAAATGCCTCAGAACCTCCAAAAAACATCAAAGAATTACTAAAAGAGTTCCAAGACATTCTTCCCAACGACCTCCTGAACGAGCTACCGCCATACCGAACACACCAGCACGAGATTGTGGAGGAACCCGATTCGAAGCCAACCTTCCGAGCACCATATCGGCTCAGCCCCACAGAGCTAGCTGACATGAAGAAGCAGATCGAGTATCTCCTCGCAAAAGGACTCATCCGACCATCCACTTTGCCATACGGTGCCACAGTACTCTTCACACCGAAACCGGACGGAAGCCTACGCATGTGCTTCAATTACCGAGCTCTTAACAAGCACACCATCAAGAACAAATATCCAATTCCACAGATCAATGACCTGCTTGACTAGCTTCGGGGTGCCATGGTATTTTCCAAACTGGATCTGCGGTCCGAATACTGGCAGATAATGATGGCGGACAATTCCGTTCACAAAACTGCTTTCCGAACTCGGTACGGCATGACCAGATGCACCTGCAACGTTCCAAGAAAAAATGAACCATATTTTATGCCCACTCTTGGGCGAATGCGTGGTGGTGTACCTGGACGACATCCTCATCTACTCGTGCGACATGAGGCAGCACGTCGAACAGCTGCGATGCGTCTTCGAATTTTTTTCGACGAGAACGATTCTACATCAAATTGTCCAAGAGCGATTTCGCCTTCGAGAAGGTCCAATTCCATGGACATCTAGTAAGCGCTCAAGGAGTTCACGTCGATCCCAAGAAAATCGAAGCCGTACGCACGTGGAAGACACCCGAGAACGTAAAAGAGTTGCAGCAGTTTCTTGGCTTCGCTAACTACTACAACAGATTCGTGCCACAGTATGCGAAAATCGCGACACCACTCACAAATTTGCTGAAGAAGAACATGCCCTATAAGTGGGAACCAAAACACCAGAAAGCCATGGAGCAGCTGAAACAAGCACTCACGTCCGCACCCGTACTCATCTTGCCAGACCCCAAACACAACTACGTCATCGAAGCTGACACTAGCGACCAGGCAGTGGGAGCAGTCTTGATGCAAGACCAAGGGAATGGACTGCAACCAATCACCTATCTCAGCAAGAAATTACACGGGGCAGAAATAAACTACCCGATACACGACAAGGAGGCCGTAGCCATCATCATCGCCTTCAAAACGTGGAGATGTTATCTCGAAGGACGCAGAACAACCGTCTACACCGACCATTGCGGCCTAAAATATCTGAAGACACAACAAAACCTTTCCAGGCGGCAAGTACGGTGGATCGAGTTCCTCGAGACGCACTTCCACTACGACATCGTGTACAAGCCTGGCCATAAAAATGAAGCACGTTGCCGGCCTGCACACGTTGCCGCTATCCAAATCAAAGGGATGAAGCCACTACTCAAGGGACTCTTCACACATGGGTATACCATCGACCCCAAAGTCCCCTTGGCGGAAAAACGACACCTGCTACAGTGGGATAGCGACATCGCGTATCGGAAAGGGTCGACAAAGATGTGGGTACCCAATTACCCTCCTTTGCGCCAGTTAATACTCGAAGAATACCACGATGTCCTATATGCAGGACACTTCAGTAGCAACAAGACGCTCACCGGTATCGCCAAACACTACTACTGGCCCCACATGGCAGACGACGTACAGAGATTCGTCACCTCGTGCGACACATGCCAGCGGATGAAGAGCAGCAAGCAGAAAAAAACAGGACTGCTGCAGCCTCTTCCTGTCCCAGAACAACCATGGCAAGTGGTAAGCCTCGACTTCATCACCGCGCTACCAACTACCACCAGCGATCATGATGCAATCCTCGTCGTCATCGACAAATTCTCCAAAATGGGACACTTCATCCCGACACACACGACAGCACGCACCGAGGAGACGGCACAACTCTTTGTTCGTTACATCATCTCACAACACGGCATTCCAAACACACTCATCTCCGACCGAGACCCCAAGTTCACCAGCAAATTTTGGAAGGAACTGATGTCTCTGCTTGGAACCAAACTCGCCATGTCATCCGCCTACCATCCGCAAACAGACGGACAGAACGAGCATCTCAACCAAACTGTAGAGCAACTCCTCCATGCAGCATGCAAGGATGATATCTCTAAGTGGGATTTACACCTACCCGTCCTGGAGTTCGCCTACAATAACACCACTCACGCCGCTACTGGACAAACGCCGTTCTTCTTATGTTACGGACACCACCCACTCACGCCATAGCAACCAACCGTCTCAGCCACAGTCCGACCTACACACGACTTTATCACGACTATGCACCAACTTTGGGATCGGACCCACAAGCGCCTCCTCGACATTCAGCAACAACAAAAGCGCCAGGCCGATCGCCATCGCACCGATCACACCATCACCGTGGGACACCAAGTCCTACTCGACACCCGCAATCTCGACATCAGCCATCTCCCATCCAAACTGCGTCCTCGCTTCTGCAGGCCTTTCCTCGTTGAAGCACGGGTCACTCCTGTTACCTTCCGCTTACGCCTACCAGTTACCTGGAAGATTCACAACGCCTTCCATATCCAACTTCTGAAGCCCTACAGAGATCCTAGCACGGTCTTCACCAGACGCCAACTGCCGCCGCCACCGCCGCCCGTCCTCGTCCATGATGAACCCGGGTACGAGGTCGAATCCGTGCTTGCACACCGCCGTCGTCGAAATGGCACCATGGAGCTTCTCTCCATTGGAAGGGTTATGATCCTTCTGAGGATAGCTGGGTCCCTGAATCTGACATGGATTACGCTCATCGTCCTCTTTGCAACTACCTTGTCAAACAGGGTGTTACTTCTACCACCCAGCTTTGAGGGGGGAAAGTGTGAGAGTACGACCCCATTCCACTTCCATCCCTCTCGTTCTCCTTTTTCGCCTGATTCCTTTAGCCTTTATCTCATCTCATTTGGGTTCCTATTCCTCATTTTCCACAATCATTTGGTTGATCTTGTTATTATAATTATATCACCGACCAGGCTCGAGATGTACTGCTGTGCTATATCTAGCATAATCCTGTCGTAATCCCTTAAATGCAATAGCCTCGTGTGCCTATACGCAGGGTGATTCTATTTCTAGAAGGATCTATTCCCTTGGGATAGGATAAACCTGGTTACCTAATGTATTGAGGAAGTATAAAAGCGCCTTGTATCGATCGATAGTGCAACTTTTCCTCGAGACGTTCGATCCTGTGTCAGCTGTAGCCGTGGTGCCGCAGGAGGTTCTGGTGTCAGCGTGGAGCAGCCGCAGCAGCAGTCGCCGCCAATGTCTGCCTTTTGCCTCCTCGGTCTTCCTTCCCCAGCCCGAGTGCCTTTGCCTCCTCTGCCACCGCATGCCCTGCCTGTCTACGACCGTGTGTTTCCTCCTCTAGACTCATCTCTGACTCCATTTCCCCCTCGTTCCCCTCCCATGTCTCCTCTGTGTCGTGACCCGACACCTGCGTCTCACGTCTGGTCTCGCCGTCCCCCTCGTGCTCGTCCAGTCTCTCTTGTTCAGCTCTCGCACCCTATGTTGCTCCGTTCCCACACGTCTCGTCCTCCCCTGCTCTAGTGACCTCCTCCGTTGTCGCTTGTTGTCGCTCCGCCCCCTTTGTCTAACTACCTTCGTGGTGCTCGTCCTCTTGTTCCTCGGGTCCTTGCCTCCCTCATTACCGATCTGTCTGTTCCTGTCTCGCGTATTGACGAGCTTGTCGCTGGTGTCACTGGCTTCGCCTCTACCCGCCACCTTGACTACGCGACCGCTCTGGTCTCTGACCTTGCCCGTCCTCCGTCTGCCAAGGGTGCGCCTGCCCTTGGCAGTGACGTCCTGAAGGACAAGCAGTACGAGCTCGCTTTCCTGTCCGAGTCTGCTCCCCATCTCTGCTCCATGCTGTTAGTCCCTGAGAGGGACCCAGATGTCTTTGACGTCTCGACCCCTCGCACCTACGCTGAGGCGACTTCGGGACCCTGGGCCTCTTAGTGGAGAGCTGCCATGGATGCAGAGATGGCATCTTGGAGATCCACCGGCACCTACTTCGACGCAGTTCTCCCACCTGGGGTGAACGTAGTCGATGGCTGGTGGCTCTTCAATGTGACACGCCCTCTTGAAGAGTCGTCCGTGTTCAAGGCGCGCTACGTGGCTAGAGACTTTAGTTAGCGCGAGGGTGTTGACTTCTTTAAGACCTTCTCCCCGACCCTGAAGATGACCAATCTTTGGGTGCTGCTACACATAGCATTACAGCGTGACTACAAGCTTTAATCTGTCGACTTCTCGACAGCTTTTCTTCAGGGCAGTCTGCACGAGCAGGTCTACCTGCGCCGCCCGCCAGGCTTCACCGGTACCTTCACCGGTGCCCAGTCTACGGCCTGCGGCAGGCGTCTCTCGAGTGGCACGACACGCTGCATGCTACGTTAGCTCACCTGCAGTTCTTTCCGTCGTCTGTCGACCCTTCACTCTTCATTCGTGTTGGCCAGACCCCATTCTACATTCTTGTCTACGTGGACAACCTGATCTTTGCTACTGTAGATAGAGACACATTGGCCTCCATGAAGGCTGAGCTGCTGAAGAGACACACCTGCACTGACCTAGGAGAGCTGCGCTGCTATCTTGGCCTACAGATCTCCAGGGACAGAGCAGCGCACACCATCACTCAGACTCAGTCACACTCAGGTCCTTCAGAGGTTCGGCCTTTAGTGTCAACTTATACATATGTTCTATGTAGAAGTTATAGGCTAGACTAGGTGTGTGCTTCTAGTGAGTACAACCCAACAGGTATATGTTCTAGGTTTCTCTTCCTAGTCATTCATTATCGTATTCTAACATGGTATCAGAGCAGGTTAGGTCCACCCACCCGCTTCTGCCCGCGTCCTAGCCTCTCACCTCCCCCTACCTACCTAGCCCGGCCCGGCCCCTTAGCGCCCACCCCTTAGCACCCTCCTGGCCTCGTCGCGCCCTCCAGGCCCCGTCGTGCCCTCCTGGCCCCCATCGCACCCTCCTGGCCCCGTAGTGCCCTCCTGGCCCCTGTCGCGCCCTCCAGGCCCCGTCGCGCCCTCCTGCCCCCCGTCGCGCCCTCCCGGCCCCGTAGTGCCCTCCAGGCCCCGTCGCGCCCTCCTGGCCCCCGTCACGCCCTCCTGGCCCCGTCGTGCCCTCCAGGCCCCGTCGTGCCCTCCTGGCCCCGTAGTGCCCTCCAGGCCCCGTCGCGCCCTCCTGGCCCCCGTCGCGCCCTCCTGGCCCCGTAGTGCCCTCCAGGCCCCGTCGCACCCTCCTGGCCCCCATTGCGCCCTCCAGGCCCCGTCGTGCCCTCCTGGCCCTCGTTGCGCCCTCCAGGCCCCGTCGCGCCCTCCTGGCCCCCGTCGCGCCCTCCAGGCCCTGTAGCGCCCTCCTGGCCCCCGACGCGCCCTCCAGGCCCCCGTAGCGCCCTGGCCCTCGACGCGCCCGCCTGGCCCCACCGAGCCCGCCTGGCCCTGTCGCGCCCGCCTGGCCCCACCGCGCCCGCCTGGCCCTGCCGCGCTCGCCTAGCCCCACCGCGCCCGCCTGGCCCTGTCGCGCCCGCCTGGCCCCACCGCGCCCGCCTGGCCCCGCCGCGCTCGCCTAGCCCCACCGTGCCCGCTCAGCCCACCTAGCGCCCGCCCGGCCCCCCCCACCTAGTGCCCACCTGGCCCCATCTAGCGCTTGCCCGGCCCCACCTAGTGCCCGCTCAGCCCCACCTAGCATCCGCCCGGCCCCACCTAGCGCCCGCCCGGCCCCACCTAGCGTCCGCCCGGCCCCACCTAGCGCCTGCTCGGCCCCACCTAGCACCTGCTCGGCCCCACCTAGCGCTCGCCCGGCCCCACCTAGCGCTCGCCCGGCCCCTCCTAGCGCCCGCTCGGCACTTTCCACAGCGCCCGCCCGGCCTCTCCTACTGCCTGCCCGGCCCCGACACGCCTGCCCGGCTCCTGCGGCCCGCAACTCCCCGTGCCCGCCCGGCTCCTGCAGCTGGTGTCGTCTGCTTGCCGAGCTGGAGAGTCTTGTCGCTGTCCTATGGAGCTGTGCTGCTGTGTCCCTGTGTCGCTGATTCTGCACGATGGCTGACTTCGTCCTCCGCCTGGACGCGGAGGGCCACGCGGTTGACTTTGCCGCCTGGCTGTCTGGTCTCTGCCATCACCTCACAGGTCAGCGCCAGGATGGGCACTCCTTGGTTGTCCATGTTGATGGCTTGCTCCCCCGCCCCCTTGCACCTGCTCCCCTCCCTGCTGACCCCACCTCTACTGAGCGTGAGGTGTTCTCTGCTGCTGCACTTGAATGTGCAATCTGGGACTCTCGCGATACAGTTGCTCAGGTTGCTATTAGTCACGCCCTCCCTGTGCCTGAGGGTTTGCGTTTTGCTACAGTTGATACCAGCGTCACCAGGCCCGCGTAGTTCACTTGGCCTCCGGTGCCAACATTGCTGATATCTTTACTAAGGCGCTTGTGCCTAAAGATCATCAACGGCACTGTGTCCAGCTTGGTCTTGTTCCTGTCACTTCTCACTTGTTAGGACCCTGATTGTGTACTCTCTACTATTTATATGTGTCTGACTGGCCTTGTGGCCTTACCTCCAGTGGCTGGACTAGTAGTGCCGCCCTGGCTTGCTTTAGTCTTGCTTGTACTCTTGCTGACTGGTCTCCGGACCCCTGCCTCAGTGGTTGGACTAGTAGTGCCACCCTGAGCTGTGTGCTTCTTGCTTAGCTCCACCCCTTATCTAGCCTAGGGGGTGTGTCAACTTATACATATGTTCTATGTAGAAGTTATAGGCTGGACTAGGTGTGTGCTTCTAGTGAGTACAACCCAACAGGTATATGTTCTAGGTTTCTCTTCCTAGTTATTCATTATCGTATTCTAACATTTAGTTCTCCTCTGCACTGCCCACACCTTTGCCAGTACATGACAAGCTTTCGGCTCTAGTCTCTGAGGTTTCTATAGAACCCAGTGGTCCCTACGCAGAGCTGGTGGGTTGCCTAATTTACTTGATGACTTGCACTCGTTAAGATCTTGCATACCCTCTCAGCATCGTGGCTTGCTTTGTGGCCACAGGCAAACACCGACCACAATACTAGTCGGCCGTTTAGAGGGTTTTACGTTATTTAGCAAGTACATCGGGCATGGGGCTAGTGCTAGGAGGACGCCGGCCAATGGTCCTTACTAGGCACACAGACTTTTAGTGGGCAGACGACGCTGAGACACTCAGATCCTCCCAGGGCTACTGCTTTAGCCTTGGTGCAGGCGCCATCTCCTGGAGGTCCA